CCCCAAAACCCCAAAACCCCAAAACCCCAAAACCCCAAAACCCCTCGAATTCTGAATAGCAAAAAAATTTGGTCTTTAATCTAATTTCTAATTGATAATTATTAGGTAAATAAATATTCGAAAAATGGATAGTATTGGTATAGATGTCCAATCATCTTAATTTATGCCAACAGAGTTGCCTGATATCATAGATCACTTCATATGCAAGCTCTGCAAATAAGTTGTATATTAGCCAAAAGAATGCCCCAAATGCTCCAATCTATATTGCTTTGACTGCGTTAATATCTAACTTTCGGACAAGGGGAAGTGGCAATGCCCCTATCCAGAATGTAAAGCAGCTGATGGTGTAGTGGAAATTCACAGAACAGTGAAAGAAATCCTTGAAAAGTTAGTTTTCTCTTGCCCTAAATGCAATACAGTCAAGAGAACTTATATTGAAATTAACAAGCACTCAGCTTTATGTGATGGTGAAGATAATGGAAGGATGGAGACTGAAGCTATTGAGAGTTTCAAGGAGGCTGAGAAAAAGCAGCTAGCAGAGGCCCCAGTCTAAGTGCAATATACTGAGATGAATATCTACATAATGGAGAAGGATTCAAAGAAGTTCTATTTATATAACAGCAGAACTCAAGCAGTGTCGATTCATGAAGTCAATTGTCCAAGCAACTTTCCTCATAATTTCCAAGCTATTTAAGTTGGACTTGTTCAAACAAAAGTTTATATAGTAGGAGGTGGAGACTTCAATCAAGTCCCTGAGTCTATGTTTTAGCTGAGTCAGATTGTTCTTAACAATTCGACGAATAAATATTAACTAGAAGCTAGGGAGAAAATGAAGTTTGCAAGACATGGTCACTCTTGCTGCAGTTTAGGAGAAAAATTCATAGTAGTAACAGGATCAAGAAAAGATACTGACAGAGCTCCTTACAGAACTGAGTTGTATAATACTGAGACTAATAAATGGATTGAACTAGCTCAATTCAACCAAGGAAGACATTACCACTCAAGCTGCTCACTCTAAAGCAAATTCATCTTTGTTTTCTGTGGTATTTCTAATGAAACCAAAAAATATCTTAATACAATTGAGAGACTCGAGTTTAATGCTGCAGATATCTAATCATCCCTCAGACAAAGATGGGAATAGATAGTTGTTAACAACCAAAACCTGCTTGTACCAAGACAAGGTTCTGGAGTATGCTAGATAAGCAATGATGAAATTCTTATTGTAGGAGGATTTCACGGCAACTTTTCAAATGAAACATTCTTCTTTAACAATTAAACAAAGTCTATCAGAAAAGCTTATAATGAATTAAAGGACAGTATTTTCCCCTTCTAAGTGCCAACTATTGCTGATCCTCTTAACCAGTCTGTATACACAGTGGACTGGTAGACGTATAAGCTATATGAATTTAAGAATGATAAATGGTAACTTAAAAAGAAAATCAAGCCATGAGAGATCAAATCAAGATAAATCCTCAATAATAAAAATGGAGGGAGTTTAGTGTGTGTAAATGTTCCTAAGAGGATTAATATATATACGCTATACACTCTCTTAAATTAAGTATTAGCTGTCTAATTTTGTCACTAACTTAGTTAAAGCATTAAACAATATTATTCTTCTCCCCCAAATATTCTATTCAACTAGATCGGGGTTTTGGGGTTTTGGGGTTTTGGGGTTTTGGGG